AATAAATCATCTGTTGTGAGCCATAAATAATTTGGCCTATTAGCCTATTATGTTATGATGAAGAGAATCTCTATAAAATTTACGCCAACAGTAAAGTTTGGTAGTCAAATGTTTCCTTTTCTATGTTCCAACTGCTTTTTTTCAGTATTTTGTAGAGCTTTAGAACAAGTCAACATCGTCTTTATTAAAGGTGCTAATATTGTAGGCAATAATGATCTGAGCAGTGACACCAACTAACGAAACCCGCACGCGGTAGCCTATATACCGTAAACAACGAAACAGTCAATCATGCCTTGAAAGTGTTAGGATATTATTTAAGAAGCTTAGAAGTCAACAATACCTTTCAGCACAGAACATTTCCAAGTACTTCAACAAAGTTTCCCTTCTTATATCAATGTGACCCTGCAATGTTTACATCTGTGACCCTGACTGAGTGGGTCACAACTGTGATGGCTGCTATGCGGTATGATTGGCTTCACAATTGGAGCGCAGTTGCTCGATCCAGTCTTTTTTCTAGATCAGTGAATGAAGCCCACAAGTGAAACTGAGGCTGAAAAGATAATCTCGCACACATTCTGCACTGAGGCTGTTCTTTCTAGCTGTCTGTGGGGAAAAGTGGCCGCTGACCTCAGCTTGAGAGATGACCTCCCATATTGCTTCTTATTTGCTTTACTTTCTATTTAGTGGGTTACTTATTGAAGTGTTGATTTGTTTTGATTTATTTGCCTGGGGTGCTTTTAAATATTTCTACTTCTTTACCTTATGATAATGACATGTGTTTAGGACGTTTGAAGTCTCTATTTTCTTGTTTAAAGAATAAGCCTGAATTGCTTAAGAAGTATGATTCGATTTTTATAAAACAGCTAGAAATAGTCCGGTCGCTTGTGTCACAATTATTGCTCCCGCTCGATTCGCGTGCCAAAATCGATTTTTTTGCATGAATGTATTTGAATATCCATCTAGATTACGAAAATCATAGGTGCCATTTTTTTAGGAAAGCGGAAGGGGTTTAACGAGGGCGTTAATCACGTGCGGTCAATGTCAGTTCCTCTGCGGAGGAGCAAATACTATCAATCGTAATAGATGATAAGAACGAACTTTGAACGAATGAACCTTCAACAAATTGTTTCCAAATGCTATAGGGACATGTCTTTAATCACTTTCTTACTTAGAAATGGAAATTTATAGTCACGTGACTTCTTACCCCCTAAATCGATGTAAGGAGATTTCTAATCCAATTGGTCATAAACTTCATCCTGGATGAAGTTTATGAATGAACGTTATTGATATTCACGTCAAACTCATTTCTATAACTTTTAATATCTAAGCGAAACATCAAGAGGCAGGGCTCCTGGAGCATATTGGGGATGGGGAGGGGGGGTAGAAAGATTTAGGGGGCACAAGATGCTGAAAGATAAGAGCAATATTTACTGTATTGTTTTAAGTACATTATGGGATTTATTGTAGACTAAGCCACATCAGCCCTCTCAGCGATAAAGAGGGGCAAAAAAACTCAAGGAATGAAATTAAATGAATGATTGAAGTTTAGAGTCCAAGGATTTTCTAACGAGGGTCCATGACCGTTAGCATGACCGTTAGTATGAATAACATCTTTAAGCAAAAAAATTATGAAAACAACAAGGATGATATGACGTGTTAATGCAATTTTTTGTTGAAACCGTAAAAAAGGACAAGTCAAAAACTGAGACAAAACAGTGTAATACCAACCTCAACCAGATCACACTGGGCCCTATCACAAAATCTTGTGTCGTTAGGAGATCTGGGATCCATTTTATTGTTAGGATAGTGTACCTAGTGTACCCAACTAGATAGGGGCGTGTGTCAGTATAGATATACTATACTGCTACATATAACATATATAAACATGTATATAAGTTGTCTTTTATAATTTCTGAGTCCTTGCTAGTTCATTAGCCAATCCACCAAGTAGAGCATTTCGGGGCTTATGATCAGTATGCTCCTTTACACCTGGGTGCCCCCTCACCCCTGCGCCCAGGGATGATGCCAGCAAAGGTGTATCATTGAATCGAAGCGTTGTATAGAAAAGAACGGGATATCCACGTTCATGTGTATCCAGTTTATTCATGTAGCCTCACCATAGAGGTATATATCATGTATTCAATAAGAATATACTACGAGCTCGTAGTGCCAATGGAGGGACAATGGTTAGGCATATAAAAATGTAATAGTGACATAAATATATGTATATAAAAATACTTGCGTACTCATACGTAAGTACAAGAGCGGTGTGCAAATAGGTATTGGGGTTATTCAGACTGTGTATAGATCTACATTGAATTTGTGACATCGATACATGTATATACAAATAATCGGGTACCAAAATGTGAGTTTAGGGAGAAAATGAGAGTTTAGCAGAAAAAACATGGACCAGAAAAGTTACCTCCAACTTTAGGAGCATTGATTCCCTACATACAAAGAGCAAGTTTTATTGCTGGAATTTTAAAGGAATATACAACTGTGATTAATGAAATTCAACCTCTTGTGGGAAACGGTTGGTAAATGGATGAGGGTATGGAAGTACCGATAAAGTGCCTTGAGCTGCCAGCCCCGCAATCAGTTCTTGAACTTGTCAAATGCGGATGCAAGGTTCGATGCAAGGGACGAGGGAACTGTTCGTGTTTGAAGAATGGGCAGTCATGCACTGAACTTTGCAAATGTGTATATTGGGAAAATATTAAAGACTACGCTGCAGGTGAAGAGACAGACGCCGATTCTGGAGAGGGAGTCGAAATTCATTAACGTATTTAATCTGTTCGTTGTTCCTTAAAGCCTGGTTTCCATATGATCGCAAAAAACGCAAGAAATACACTGCGATCTTTGCGATTCCCGCGAATAATGATTCGACTTTTGGCGCGCCAAAATTAAAATGGCTGGAATCAACCAGCAATGTCTACTGCAATCGAGCTTGTTTATTATTATTGCACTCTAACAAAGGATCTGAGGATTCACGATCGGGAGTACTTTTTCAGGTAGGCATAATTTTTCAGGTTGGAATGAATGTAACCTCGGTGCCTGTTAGTTTTTACCTCTTTAGGCAGATTCCTGAACTTGTTCTTAAAGTCCCGGCTATTCTTGTTATAAAGGCAGTCGTACTGTTGTATTTCTTCTATTAAAGCAAGGTCTTCTTCTGTTGCAAAAGCCATCTTGAAATTTCGATAAAAATAAAAAGGATGCAAGGCTTGGTAGAACATCCCGGAGGATAAACTGACGCAAGGATCGCCAAGTTGTTAACAAGCGGTTTCCATTAAAAAAACCATCGACGCAAAGATCGCAAGAATCGCAGAGATAGAAAATTTTCTATCTCAAACGCAACAATCGCAAAAATCGCAACAATCGCAACAGACGGAATAGAGCAGTTACCATTAATACGCAAGGATCGCAGGATCGCAAGTCACAAATTTAAGCGATTCTTGCGTTTCTTGCATTTTTTGCGATCATATGGAAACCAGGCTTAATACACCTATATTTACACCTATATTCTCAGCAGCTTTTCCATGTTATCTACTAAAGCTGATGTTTAAAATGTTTTGTAGAAATTTCTGCTTTTAGGAATTTAGGGACACCTCCTTCAACAGGCCATTAATAGCATCCTCCTGAAATGAGGCCCCTCTCTTCCGATGTTTAAAAGTTGCGGAAATGACTCTGACGCGATTAAAAATTGTTTTCTTCAGAATATCTCATTGTAGAAAACAAAAAAGTACTCATTTCCATATATGGAAATAGGGGCAGAAAGTCACGTGATTAACCATATTAAGTCCTAAAACCAGGACCCAATATTTAAAGATTTCCCCAGTTAACATTTGAAAACAATTTAAAGTTAATTTAAAGTTAGTTTTAATCATCTATTGTGATTGGGACATTTTTCTCCTCCGCAGAGACACTTGCTTTGACCGGTCGTGCACCCCAATAAGACCCACTTCCGCTGACCCAAAAAAATGGCACCTATGATTTTTATATTATTGATAGATATTTGTAGGCATTCATGCAAAAAAATCAATTTTGGCACGCAAATCGAGCGGAATTACACAAGGATCCCGACTAAAAAGGGTATTATTGAATTGGTTCCGGAGGAAGAATTACGTAATAGTAATTGTAATTTTATCATCCACTATTGTGTTATTCAAGAGGATAAATCAACTACGAAGGCTAGTGCATGCTCAAAGGACAATTCGTATTCTCTTAATGACAGCTGTCAGATATTGAAGAAGCACTTTTACAAATTGATGTTAAGGAGGCAGACCACAAAATTCTATGCTTTTTATGGTACGAAAATATTTTTGATAATGAGCCTAAGATCGTTCAATTTAGAATCAATTGCCGTCAATTTGGTCTCACGTGTTCACCAGCGAATCTCGGTGCCACCATTCGTCATCACATTGACCAATTTTCAGACAAATATCCGGAGGCTGTCAAGATACTGCAGCGTTTGAATTGTGACGATTTGTCATGTGGCGGTTGGGGAGTTTAACCTTAGGAAATGGAATTCCAACAACAAGGAGATATTAGCAAAAATCAAGGTGTCTGAAAAGGTTAACGATAGGGTAACACCCCTTGCAAATCACAAGTTGAAGAAGACAACCAGTCTTTTGTAAGTTCTCTACGGGGTTGCCTACTAATGATAACAAGATTCTTGGACTATATTGGGACTCAGAACATGACTCAATGTACGCTTCATTGCAAGGCTTGGATGCTTTCGCTAAATCGTTACTGCCCACAAAAAGGTCTGTGCTTAAAGGGAATGAATCAGCATAAGAGGTCGAGCGCTGCAGGGGTTTTTTTGAAAAACGTGACCAATTCGTGTGATCACTTTTGCGTTTTCGAGAAGGAGGCTGTCTCCTATATGGCGCCAGTTTCGAAGGGAATGCTACTTGATACGGAAGAAATCGGATGGATACGATTGATGCCAACACTCTCAACAACTTGTTGGTATATAGGGAAAACAATAGAGGGAAAGCAACAAATAGGAGGTGAGATACCGTTCTGAATACGAATTAGATTGGCCTAATTATATCAAGGGTCAAAGAAAAGTAAATGTCTGTCACAGTTAACCAAAATGGAACGTTTATGGATAAATGTCGCCACTCCTTCTTAAAAGACAAATAAATTTGTGAGATGTTTGGCAATGAAATCAGCAAATTTCTACTAACTGGTTTCGGTGGGCAGTTAGCAGTTAGTTCCATATTTCGTAATGGAAAATATGAAAGCTCCTTTTTAAAATTTTTGTTTCAAATGTACCAAATGTACCAGTTCCAATTCCGTTAACTGAGACAGTTTTCATTTATTTACCTATCAATCAGTCCTAAATACAATTCTACACAATTTCATGAAAACAAAATGGTTAAAAATACCATACAACAAAAACAAATTAAAGTTACAAAATTCTGGAATAGAATTTAACATGATGACTAACTGGTTAAGGAGGAGCTCTCTAAATATATTAGCTTCTCCATAAAGCACCCTCTCATAAAGCATGAATAAAAATTTGACAAGATTTATTTCATAAATTTTTGTTGCTTTCAAAACTGTACAAAACTTCCCTCCCTCATGAAAATTATTGAGAAAGCCCAAGAGGAAGGAAGTTTTAATGACTGATTTACAAGTGTGGGGGTATATAATTCATTTATAGGATATGCATCAGAACTTACGCAATTTTTTCAACAGATTGAATATAAGCATCACAACTTCTGCTGATAACTCTTTGTTTGATGACAACACAATGGAAATTATGGCAAATGGACAAGGAATAGGGATTGATACCATGGATGAAGAAATCATGTGTGCTTGCTCTGGAAAATGCATTAGAAAATGCCCTAGCCTCATGAACAGGAGAAAATGCCGCCCAGAACACTGCAAATGCAGAAATAAAATATGCACCAACAAATTCAGCCAAGTAGATAGCAACCTATTTCAGCTGAATTACAACCCTGGACGCAATTTGATTTGACTTTATTATCTTTTTTTTATAAATTGTTAATATGGCTAAGAAACGATCACATGCTTGGTGAATGGCGTCAATTGCTATTCTGAGAAGGAGTCTGATATTATTTTATATGATGGTTTTTTTATATTGTTGAATGCCTTCAGAGAGTAGATGGTATAAACAGGTTTTTGCAGTTGTAACAGAACATTGATCAAACAAACATTATCTAGGAAATGAAAATCTAAAGGTTTATTGTTTACCTTTCTTTCATTTTAGCCTGCCTCCTAATCAAGAGGAGTATAGTGAACTCGACAGTGGCCAAACCCTAGAGCAGATGAGTTTATCAAGGGATATCAGACCAGAATTGGTAGACCACAACTTGATTTCCTGCCTTGAGGCCGCTACTTATGAATTTTCGGCCATTATACATTTCGCCTTTTGTTTTCTTTACCACAACACACAATATTTTTGCTTGCAAGTTAGCAGCCAATAATATTCAACATGGACAACAATTTCATCAATTCTGTTAATACGTTAAAAACTTTCATGACTAAGTCATTAATGAGTTCAAAGTAGTACTTGCTACTAAATGTATACACATTGAAACCTTTTAAAATCATTTCCAGTTTAAAGTATTTGCTAATTTTCAAATAAAGTTGAAATGTATTACTAATAAAGTATGCTCCAACTGATTGTTTTTATTGACATTCTCTTTTCAGGATGATGCCCTCACTCATGTTAGCTGCAACTGCACAGGGTCATGCAAGCGAAACTGCCAATGTAAAGTTGCTGCTGTCCACTGCAAAGAAAATGTCTGCAGGTGTCCACTGCAGAAGTGTTCCCATCGACCGGAACAAAATGCAACAAACAGCAATGCAAATCAGGTGCAGGAAATAGTTTAATAATGCAACAAATGGTTTTATACACTTTTTTGGATACCTATATATTTGGGAGGGCAAATCTCTAAACTCTATGTCTAGAACTTTGATTTATTCTTCTATATTCATTACAATGAATTTATTATTGAAATATACCCTCCATTGTACATTTATTAGACTTAATGTAATGAATCATTTGTGTCAAAAGGTAATGGTTTTAACATTTAGTATAACAAATCCTTATATTAATGTAGCAATTACTAGCAAAGAGAAGAAAACGACCTTACGAGCTGCAAGAGGAACACCAAGAAAGAGCAGAATCTGCTTATAATGAAGCAAAGGTATATAAAGGTATGTATAAAGGTATTTACAAAGCACAGAGACTTTATTTGTATATTCTGCCTTTTAAGCTGTTTCTCAAGTAAATTTTGACATCTTTTTCACCGTTTTAGCGATGTTCAAATAAGATGTACCTCTTAGTCAGCAGATTTTTTAAGCTGTCCTGAGCTTTTATGCTAACGGAAGAATGCCTCAGATAATATAGCCAAAAAAAGTTATTGACAAAAACCAAAGGAGTAAATAATGAGTAAAATGATGCAAAATGTTGCATAACTGAATTTTTTGAAGAAATTTGCTTTTCATCTATCTATGATTGTCTGCTCCTCAGGTTATGCCAGGGCTTACATTTTGAACGAAATAATAGATTCAAAAAGGACACTTAGCTTAAAGTATCTTTGACAGGAACAATGCAGCCGGTTAGAGAAGGATGATGTAATAAATCGTGTTTGTCTCATGGCCAAAATGTCCCCTCTACTTTGGAAGCGTGTCAGTGAAATGTCTGCCCAAATTGATATGTCCACTGTTTCTGAAGAGAGTCCTTTGTGGTGTGTCTGTGATGGATGCAGGAAGGTGCCTCTAGAAAAAGAGAGAGTTTGTTGTAAGAACAAAGAGTATGGGCACCAAAATCCACTCTTTGAGCACCATGTCTTGTTCGAGCCTACCCTAGAGTTGGCAATGCGCAATAATGCAGACCATCTCCATTACCCTTTTGACAGAAGCAACAATGCCTGTTGGCGGTTTACAGCTTACCACCAGTACTATCTCTGGGCCTGGGGTAGGCTAGGAAAGCATAATAGGAAAGTGATTCCCTCCTGCTGTGTTTGGATGATAAGGGAAAAAATTTCCTGATGAATATTCAAGCTACACTGGATTTTTTGATGTAGAGTTTAATCTGTAATTTTTCAGAATACATCAAATTACCTGCATTAAATTTCACTTTGTTTCATATTTGCACGTTTCACGTGTGGTGCAACATGGTCAGTTGTGGGAGGGGCTGGCTTTGAACCAATGTTTCTTGCCAATGCCTTGGTAGCTCTCCTTGCCACACCTGAATTCCTGTCCATATGTCGTCTCCACATGATTTTTGCTTGCAACTCTAAATAAGATTTATGAATGTATAACAACTCAATACTACTTAACAAAAACTGAAATAGAAACTTTATTTCAATGATCCACCTATAGTATTCATCATTCAATTGTACATGACAACAATGTTTATTACAACAAAACCAGCAAAATTTGTTTTATCAACCAAGAAATAACTGTTATATAAAAATCATGTATGCTGGATACTACCTTCCATATACAAATATGACTCAGGAACTGGAACTGCATGCCACATCTTTTTCCTTTTACCCCATTTTCTAGCAAAAACTTGGGTACCATCTTTTCGCTTCAACTACGGTCTGTTTAGGTGTGCATTATAATCTAAGTATGCCAGCTCACATCTGGTAACAAAAGCATCATTCTTGTAACAATTCGCTTACAACAGTACTCCAAGATCACATTGTGGAAAACCTATATGCATAAAAATATTTTACACAAAATTTGCTGGCAGCATTGGATTAATGGTACAACATAAAACACATGGCAACTGCTTTAGCCTACCTCCAGTAATAAAGAATCTGCACTTAATTGATATTCTCTTCACTTCTACGGAAAAATGTTTATAAACACTTACCTCCAACATACCAGTATGCCTGTTCCGAACATAATAGTGTAGAGAATTTAATAGGATGCTATCCATGACTATCTCTCTAAGAGCTAACAAAGTATTACTGCCAGGCTCTAGCCACTTCTTCCCATTCAATGGTTCAATTATGTTGTCATGATCACAGTCCTGGTGGTCATCCCCAATGTGATGTAAGAGTCTGGTCCAAAGAAGGCGAAGTTTCACTTCATTGCTGTCACAATTGCCACAACAGTATCAGAAATGGTTCCTTATTGCTGAAATCCATGGCAAAAGCTCTTGATGGGCCTTCTTCGTTGCAACCTTTGAGAATGCATAAAAAATGTGATAGCTCTATCGTGACAATTATGCCATCATCACTGCAAAGACTACATGCACATTAGTGTATCCAGATAGAAAAATAAGTTCTTTAAAGAAA